AGCAAAAGAGTCAAGGTACTAACCCTCTATGGACAGGGCCAGATTAAGAAAGTAGTGATAGCCTTTCCAGTGGTGTCAACCTCCCTATAAGAACATGCCTCTTGCAAAGGAGCTCCTTCATCCCTCTCCAGAAGAGGAAAAGAAGAGATACATGACAAACTGCCTGGTGCAGGTCCCCCATTCTTACATCACAGATGTGAAATGCCTGGGATACTATAGAATGACTATGATCTTTAGTTATGCACAATGTGTATTTGCTGCTCCACTGTCCTCTGTCAGCCCACAGGGGGGAAAACAAAGCCTACAGAGGTATGGATACTCCTTTTGGAGGAAGTAGTTCGGAAAGCACCCTGATTCAAAATGAGTGGGAATTATCCAATAAATTTTGGATAAATAAGAAAAAAGTAGATGTATAAAATAAAATAAAATAAAGTTGTTGTGGTAACATTTGTGCATATGGGTGATTTGCCTGTATATATGAATATGCATCATGTGCATTCCTGGAGAGAACAGAGAAGGCATTATATCCCCTGGAACTGAAATTGTAGACAGTTGTGGGCTTAACAATATCCTTTGAGAACACTTGAAATAAGTTTCTCAACTGTAGACAAAGCAAAAAGGAAACTGTAACTCAAAATGCACTACCTAACACTTCCATCCAATTATAAAGTCATATAATTTAAAAGTAAGATCCTGCCTCACATCTGTGTCATCTTCAGAGTCATAAAACCTAGAATTTAAAGGTGAAAGAGAGCTTAGAAACCTTCCATTCCAGTCTCCTTTCTTTACAGAGAAGGAGGTAAGCGTGCAGTTGAGTTTCTATGAGCAGTTAGTAACTGAGAATGCACTGCTGTCTATTCTAAACCTAGTCCTCAAAGGTTGGGTGTTTACTGATGGCCAACTGTCCCCCATACTATCTCCTGTGCATCAGGCACTAACCTAGTAATTATCTGAAAAAATAATAAGTGTAGATGTAACCAACCATCTTATTAAATAAGAAACACAGAGCCAATACAGAGATAAAAGCCAAGAGGTCAGAGCAATGTCTAAGAGCTAAAAACCGTTCCCTTCACTGTCGCTGTTGCACTACCTCTCCAAACCAGACCTACTTCCTGTGTGTCTGTCTTTTTATAGTGTTTCTGTTCTGCCTTCTCATTGGCTGTAAACCCAACCACATGACCTCCTAGTCACTGCCTGTCTGTACAGACCTCCAGGACTTCTATGGTTGGTATTGAGATTAAAGGCATGTGTCTCCATGCTGGCTGTATCCTTGAACACACAGAGATCCGCTTAGCTCTGCCTCCCAAGAGCTGGGATTAAAGGCATGCACCACCACCGCCCAGCTTCTGCTAAGGCTTGCTATTAGCTCTAACCCTCAGGCAACTTTATTTATTAACATACAAATAAAATCACATTTCAGTACAAATAAAATATCACCATAAATAAGATTATATCATTGTACACAAAGAATTCACACTCCAGTTGGGGAGACACATTAGGAAAAATAATTATAATAGAATGCCTTTTTCTCCTCCTCCTCCTCCTGCTTCAACAGACTCTCACTCTGCAGCTCAGGGCTGTCCTTCAGTCCCAGCCTCCTGAATACTGGATAAAAAGCATGAGCTATCATGCCTAGCAGTACAGTGATCTCAGTAGTTTCATTCAGAGAGAGATCATTAGTTGTAAGATACACAAATACACAAAGATGCTAGAGTTAAAGAAACTTCCTTTTTGTGAGGACATGAGGAAACTGAGAAACCAAATAGAAGGGAGTGCAACCTTGCCTCACTAGAACTGCAAAGGAATGTCTTTGTGCCTCTGTCTTTTCTTCAGTCCTTCCTCCACATGGCTTCAAGTCTTTCTATCTACTTTATTTTTCTTTTCATTCAGGTTATTTCTCTGCTCATTTGTTCACTTGTTTATTCATTTTGGCTGCCTCCAAATACCAGCCTTAGACTATCTGATACCATATTTTGACTCCCTTTACTTAATTGATTTAGTTGTCTCCCCAACTTCATACTTGGAGAGAGAACTTCATTGTCTCAGCTCAAGTTATGTGGCTACTGCTGATCCTCTTGTAATCAGTGTGCAGTTCAGTGTTTCTAACATGAAGAGTGAGAGGTAGAAATAGTGAGGAGTGCTGGATCACAAAGGCATGTGGGCAAGGTGTAAGTGCATTCAGTTTGTTCCTGTTACACATTATAAAGTAAATTTCTTTCTCTCTTATTTTAAAGGTTTGAATGTTTCAAGACAAAGAGCTCAATAAACTACCATCTGCTTTTTACCCTAGCTCTATTCAGTTTAATAGTAACCACGGTAAGTCATACTTTATCTCCAGCAAGGTATGCCTTGTAGGAGATTGGAACAGTTAGTTTCCAGTGTTTGTGCCAAGCTATTCAAACTGAAATGTTTTTATGCAATTGGAATATCTTATTTTTAGACTTTGCACCTTTATTTCCTTTTCAAAAATTACTTTTAATTGAAAAAAACTTTTAAAAAGTTAGTTTTTAGATTTATTCTACTTTTTTGTGTGTGTTTGAGTGTTTTATCTATATGTATGTGTACCATCTATGTGACTGATACCTGGAGAGGTCAGAAGATAATAGATCCCCTGGAGTTTCAGATGGTTGTAAGCCATCATATAGGTGCTGGGAACTGAATCTGGGTCCTCTGCAAGAAGAGCAAGTGCTCTTAAACAATGAGCTGTCCTTCAGTCCCCAAAATAACTCTTTATTGTGTTTTTTTTTTTTAAGATAAAGAAAAGGTTGAAAAGTAAATATTTAGTTAGTAGCAATAGGAAAAATTGCTTTTCTCATGGATGAACTTACTATCTCTTATTTGTTAAAAACAAGAAGTGAGGCTTTCCATGTTGGCCCAACTGAGTGTTTTCATTGTTAACCTTGAATTAAGACAATATTAATTGGAAACCTGTGTCAGGTACTAGGAATACAAAAGTGACTAAGAAGTAGTTGGTATCCATGAGGGAACTCATTCTACTAGGGAAGTTAAATGGGAACAAAGACTTGTAGCAGAAGATAATGACTACAAGAATAAAGGTAAAAACCTGTAATATAGTGATGTGAGAAAAAGAGGATCAATTAAGACCATATGAGTGCATTTAGCACATCATGTATATGTGTAATTTTTGTCTTTATGAACCATTTTTAAAAAACTAAATAATTTTGGGACTGGAGGGATGGCTCAGTAGTTAAAGTACATACCTATCTTAGAAAAAAAACCAATTTGGCTCCCACATCAGGTGACTTACAAACCCCTGTTACTCTAACTTTAGAGGGATCTGTTGCCTTCATAGCACCTGCACTCATGTGCAGGCATGTTCATGTATTGTTCATGCACACAAATAATTGAAACATAATAAAAATAAATTGCTTTAAATTTTAATTTACTTTTTTTGTTTGTTTGTTTTGTTTTTCGAGACAGGGTTTCTCTGTGTAGCTTTGGTGCCTGCCCTGGATCTCACTCTGTAGACCAGGCTGGTCTCAAACTCACAGAGATCTGCCTGGCTCTGCCTCCCAAATGCTGGGATTAAAGACATGCGCCGCCGCCACCACCAGGCTTAATTTACGCTTGAAGCCAAGATGATGGTATGCGCTTGTTATCATAACACCTGGAGGCTAAAACAAGAGGATAAGAAGTTTGAGGCCATCCTGAGCTACATAGTATATTCTAGGCCAGGTTCAGCTGTATGACTTTGTCTCAGCATGCCCCTACTTCCTTCCTAATTTTAATTTTTAAAAAAATACTGCTTAATGAGGATCACACATGGGCTTGAGGCCAGCCTGGGCTACATAATGTTTTGGTCTAAGCCTAGAACTTAGAAAACAAAAACAAAGATTACTGCTTGAACAAGGCATGATGGCTTGAGGCTGCCCTGGGCTACATCAAAACAGTCTGAGGAAGCAAAAGCAGAACAAAAAAAATACTATATGAGTAGGTCAGGGCAAGCTTCAGAGAAGATTCTCTTGGGTTAGATTTTAACTGATGAACAGGAGTTTTTCAGGCCTCTGGGCAACAGTGTAGTAAAGCATTTTTAGTCTTTTGTATTTCCATACACACAGACCATAGACTAGCATAGTGAATTGTTGTTTTTTAGAAACTACTTACTATGTGCCAGATGTTTACTGAATAGTTTGTCTTGATTGTTCAATTAAGTTATGGGTACAAAATTGAGAGAGGTTTTATATAGGTGATTGCTTATGGTAGGGGAAAGTGGTAAATGAGTCTAGTGAGTTAGACAAAATATCAGGTGATAAAGTCCTATGTGTGCTATGTTTAAGAGTTTAAATTTGTTCTTAGTATTGATCCATAAAGTAGAAAAAAATATAATCAGACAAGTTTTAGAAAAATTACCTGTTACAGAAAATAGAGTCTGGAGATTAAATACAGGGATTTTTCATACTTTGTAAAATATGGGACCAAATTGAAGTAGTGTAGCTGTGGGTATGAAAAGCAGCAGACATATACAACCTGTGGGACGTATGACCCATTGATTAGAGAGGGTAGAAGAAGAACAAAGACAGAATGGTACAGAATGGCTTCTCTTCTTAGGGCATGGTTGTTAGCCTATTAACCATGTAAGTGGTGGTGCATGCCTGTAGTCCCAGCACTTCACAGGCCAAGGCATGACATCTCAGTTTGAGGGTAGCACATACTACACAGCAAGATCTTCTATTAAAATTAAAACATGGAGCCAGCATGTTGGGACAAGCCTGTAATCCAGCACTCAGGAGGCAAAAGCCAAAGGATCATGAGTTAAAGGCCATTTTTTCTACATAGCAAATTCAGGGCCAGACTCTATGAGTCTTAAAATATAAAAATTAAATTGCTGGGTGGTGGTGGTACAAACCTTTAATGTCAGCACTCAGGAGACAGAGGCAGGCAAATCTCCGAGTTTGAGGCCAACCTGGTCTACAGAGTGAGTTCCAGGATGGCCAGGGCTACACAGAGAAACCCTGTCTCAAAAAACAAAACAAAATTAGGTTAAAATTAAAGATAAAAATACATATAAAATAATAAGACTGTGGTTATAGTTCATTTGGTAAAGTGCTTGCCTAGTGTACAGAAAGCCCTAGATTTCATCCTCAGTACTGAATAAAACCAAATGTGTTGGTATATGTCTGCATTCCCAAAATCGAAGTTAGGAAGGTTGAGGCAGGAGGATCAGAAGTTTGAGGTCATCTTTAACATTAACATTATAATCAGTTTAAGACCAGCCTGGGCTATGTCTTTAAAAATAGTAATAATAAACTGGACCAGCAAAAATGGTTCAGTGGATAAAGGTCCCGTTGCTAAGCCTAACAACCTAAGTTTGATAATTGGAACCTAAATGGTGGGAAAAGAGCTGACTCCTGCAGTGTCCTCTGATTTACACCTGCATGCCATGGCATGAGTGCATGTACACACACACACACACACACACACACACACACACACACACACACACACTTATGTAATAAAAAGGAAACTTTTTAATTGAAATTAAATAATTGTACTCTGAGCATCTTTTTCAGGAAAGATAATTAGTAAGCTTATGCTATGATGTAGGAGTAAATAAATTTGGTTTATGATAAGTTGAGTTTGAAGTATCCAGTATTAATGATACTGGAGGCTTAACAGGTAGGCTGGACTAAAGATATAATTTTGGGGAGTTGGTTGAGGTGTAGGTTGTATCAGAAATATGGAGATAGGTGAACTGGTGCCAAAGTCAAGCATACCATTAAGACTACAGAGATACAACCTATGGAATGCAGACCTTTGAGGACCACGTAAAAACTATAGCCAGCAAAGGAGACTAAAACAGTAATCTGAGATAAAGGAAAGACAAGAAAGCCTCATGTCACAGAGGACAAAAATTTTAGAAGTGAAACGTGAAGAGGAATGGCAAGATGGCTTAGCAGGTAAAGGTGCTCACCTTCAAACCTAACAACCTGAGTCCAACTCCCAGAACCCACCTGATGGAAGGAAAGAATTTACCCTTGTAAGTTGTCTCTGACCTTCACTCTCATGCTATCACATGCATACAGTGAATAAATAAATACAAGTAAAAAAAACCCCAACTATTAATTGTCTCTGAATAGTTAAGAAAAAGGAAGAATAACAGCCTGCTGAAGGAAGATGTCACCTGGTTAAGATGATGAATAGAATATTCACTATTTTCCTGAGTTCCCATACTCCTTTGCCTAAACTCTGTATGAGTTCATAATGAAAGAATCCTGCAACTTCAGAAGTAAAAAGAAGTCAGGCTATTATTTTAACAGAGGGAATAAAATCAAGAGTGTCAGTGACTTGCCTGGCCAACTAAGGTTATCTAGAAAGTTGGCATCAAAATCAAAGCTAGACTTCTTTGCAAGTTAAGAGATGTTATAATTAGAAACAAATCAAGCTTTTGAATCAGTTGGATGTGAGTTTGGATCTAATATTTTTACTTAGTTCTCTCTTAGCTTTAGTTTTTCTTACCATAAAATGAATATAAAATGGAACTTTTTTTTGTTTGTTTGTTTGTTTGTTTTTCAAGACAGGGTTTCTCTGTGTAGTTTTGGTGCCTGTCCTGAATTTCCCTCTGTAGATCAGGATGGCCTCGAACTCACAGAGATCTGCCTAGTTCTGCCTCCTGAGTGCTGGGATTAAAGGTGTGCGCCACCACCGCCCGGCAAAATACACCATTTTAATACTAACTATAATATTAATAATAAGGACTCCATAATTCTTGGCCTAGGAAAAAGTATTGAAGAGACAAACTGTTAAGCCTGGGCTGTTGGTACACACCTATAATCCCTACACTCAGGACATAGAGACAGGAGGATTGTGAGTTCAAAGCCAGCCTGGTCTACAGAGCGAGATCCAGGACAGGCACCAAAAACTACACAGAGAAACCCTGTCTCAAAACAAAAAAACAGTGCGGTCTCATAGCAGCGGCAGAGACGCGGCCAAGCTGCTACCGGAGTGGTCGCCTGTTAGCGGACAGTGACAAGACTCCAAAGCTGGCTCTTGTCTACGGCCAGGAGCTAATGGCAGGGGACAGAAGCAAGCATTCTGAGCTGGACCAAGAAAAATATGATGCTCATGACAACGTGAAGATCATCTGTCTGGGAGACAGCACGGTGGGCAAATCCAAACTTCTGGGATACAGCAGGCCAGGAGAGGTTCCAGAACATGTATGCCTCCTACTACCTACCACAAGGCTCATGCCTGCATCATGGTATTTGATGTCCAGAGGAAAATCACCTATAAGAACCTGGGTACCTGGTATGCAGAACTTCGGGAGTTCAGGCCGGAGATCCCATGCATCCTGGTGGCCAATAAAATTGATGCAGACAAACAGCTAACTCAAAAGAACTTCAGTTTCGCCAAGAAGTTTTCCCTGGCCCTGTACTTCGTCTCAGCTGCCAATGGTACCAGTGTGGTGAAGCTCTTCAATGACGCAATTCGATTAGCTGTGGCTTACAAGGAACGCTCCCAGGACTTTGTGGATGAGGTTTTACAGGAGCTTGAGAACTTCAAGTTGGAGCAGAAAGAGGAGGATACACCAGACCAAGAGCACAGTGGCATGGTCAAGAGCCCGTCTCCTTCTTAATCAAGAGGACACCCACACATGGCTGAGTAGGGGTATCAGGAAGCCATTTGAAATGCCCAACATCTCTGGAGAACCTCTCCAGGCTACCCCTGCTCAACTTCCTGCAAACCCACTGTTCTGTGGTCCATGATGAGGTCAACACAAACACACTAGACAGGCATGATATCCCACCAACTTCCTACAGCAGGATGAGGGATCCATGTCTTTCAAATCTTCCCACCCCACCAGCAGCCTGGCAGTGTAGAATCAGTGAACATGCTCATGTTTTCTTACTAGACATGTAATGTTTGTTGTCTTTCATCCCAAACTGACCTCAGGGATTCTCCTTGCTGCTGACAGGACTGCTGACCCCTAACTACACTGTGTCCTGCAGAATCTGTGACCTCTGTCCCTTTGCCCTCTGAGTCTCCCAACCAACTTTTTCAACAATATTTTGGACAGACTGTTGATTCCAGATTTTTTTTAGTGCTGTTTCAGGAGCTCTTCTAGGTCAGGTTGAGAGCACAGGAATAGGACTCCGTTGCAGTCACATGAAAACACGCCAAGTCTAGCCATATCTGGTCATATCCGCACATTACTATTGCCCACCACATGAACAACAGCTTCTTTTGAAGCCTCCATCTCAGAGTAGAAAGTGTTCCTCCACCTGTCTAGCATCTTCTGTGGGTGGCAGGAAATGGCATGGGAAGAGCTGCCCTGCTTCCTGCAGCTTGCTAGCCTGCACTTATGATTGTCTTCAGCATTGTTTCCATTGTCTTTATTATTTTGTTTGTATTGTTTCCTTTTGTACAATAAAGATTAAATTTCATAAAAAAACAATAACAACAACAAATAAAGACACATTCTCCTTTTTAAACTTAGAGTTATAGGTAATTTTTCAGTCAAAGCCCTTTGACTACTTAAAGGAAATAATTGTGGTCTTTTGATAGTAAGAAACTTATTTCAGAAATAAATTTTTAGGTAAGTTTTAAAACTACGTGAAGTTTTATTAGATTACTACATTAAATAAAGACATAAAGATGTCTAAACCCAGTTCTAGATAGCAAAGAGATGATTAGGTTATAGGGGAACACAACAAACCAGTAGAATGCCATAAAGTAGCAGTTCTCCACCTGTGGGTTGTGACTCCCACAGGGGTCACTTATCTGATAAACTGAATATTAGATATTTACATTACAATTCATAACAGTAGCAAAATTACAGTTATGAAGTAGCAACTAAAGAATTTTATGGTTGGAGGTCCCCACAACATGAGTTGTATTGGAGGGTCACAGCATTAGGAAGGGCACTGCCATACAGCTTATAGGTAGATGGTGAATAGTTGCTTCTCTTGGAAATGAAAGAGATCATAAAAGACTTCAAGGATGAATAATTTATGTTGAATTTTCAAAAGTATTTGTGAGTTGAGGAGGATTTCTTTTTTAAAAAAAGATTATTTATTTATTTATTTATTTATTTTACAGTGTTCTGTCTGTAGATATCCCTGCAGGCCAGAAGAGGGCACCAGATCTCTTTACAGATGGTTGTGAGCCACCATGTGGTTGCTGGGAATTGAACTCAGGACCTTTGGAAGAACAAGCAGTGCTCTTAACCTCTGAGCCATCTCTCCAGCCCCTGAGGAGGATTTCTGAACAAAGTAAAGAGCAACGTATTTTCAGATGCAGAAGCATGAAAGGGATGCATTCAAAGCACAGTGCTCTTTGGAGATTGGAGTGAGGAGAAGACAGCAGTGAGGCCAGGCAGGAAGACAGGAGCTGTGGGAGGCTTTGAATGTCAAGTTAAGAAACCTGAACTTCCTTGTGGTAGTATAAGAGTCATTGAAGGGTTGATTCGAATTTTGATTCCTGTATACTGTGTCATTTAAAAGTTGTGCTCCTGTAGACAATATGTACATATTAAATCTTACAAAGGCATTGAACTTAACAGCCACAAGACACTGGAGCCTAAAACTTGGGTTTGTGTAACTGGAAGTGTATCTAGGTAGTGAATAGTTTGGAAGTAGAAATGGGTTCAAAGAATTTGTTTAAATGGTTTCACTTACTGATAATCTAGTATGTCTAGATCCTTTCATGTACTTTAGCTTAGAATTCTCCATGCTGCTGTTCTCCATTCTTCAGGTAAGGATCGATTCTTTTAAGTTAAATGACACTTGCTAAAAGCCTATAGCAATTAAGTGAAAGAGCTAGAAATTTGGTTCTAAGTATAGTATTCTTTCTACTGGTATAGGGACTGTCAGCAGAATGTATTGACCCCTCATGAATAACCTTGTATTCTTGACCATCCTTGAAGGTGACACAAAGACCAATGCTGAAATAGTCTACCACTGATTGAAATATTTAATTATTTCATTTGCCATGGCTGGGCTAGCATGGGAAAAAGTTACCGGTAGGTGCTAGCCCTCCTGTGCCATATCACCTTATCTGATTGGTTTTATGTGGCTGTAATCTGGTTGGAATAACATGGGGGAAAGAGAGGTTTGGGATTTGAAGAGTAATTGGAATAGGTTTTTATATCCTTTCTTTCACTTATGTTTCTAATAATATTTTTCAGATTTACCTAAAAGTAAAAGAGCCTATATTCCATCAGGTAACTTTTTTAAAAGATTTATTTATTTTATGTTATTTATATGAGTGTTTTGCTTGCATGTACGTTTGTGTACTATGTGCATGCTTGGAGCCTGTGAATGTCAGAAGAAAATGTCAGATCCCCTGGAACTGAAGTTATGGATGGTTTGGAGCTGCTATGTGGGTTCTTGGAATCAAACCTGGGTCCTCTGCAAGAGCAAGAAGTGCCCTTAACTGCTGAGCCATCTCTCCAGCCTGATAAATTTTCTTAGTTATGAAACATTTAATTGTTTAACAATACATGCCTGTTGTCTGTGTTTCCCTTCTGTAGGAAATTATATGCTGATACAACTTTTGAAAATGGTAAAATGTCAAGAATCTACTATTAGCCTAGAAATCTAGTTCTCAACCTTCCTAATGCTGCAACCCTTTAATACAGTTCTTCCTGCTGTGGTGACCCCCAACCATACAATTCTTTCATTACTACTTCATAACTGTAATTTTAGTGCCATTATCAATTGTAATGTAAATATCTGATAAGCAGGATATCTGATATGCCACACCTATGACAGGGTTGTTCAACTCCCAAAGGGATCACAACCCACAGGTTGAGAACCACTGGCCTAGAATGATGACACATTCTAATACTTAAGAGATCTTAGCAGGAGGATTTCAAGGTCATCCTCAGCTACAAAGTGAATTCAGGGTTAGAGTGGGCTTTATGCCTGTGCTGGATACAGCCCTGGCTGGTCTGGACCTCTGTGTAGGCCAAGCTGACCTTCAACTCATAGAGATGCATCTACCTCTGCTGCTTGCCTGAGTGCTGTGTTAAAAATGTGGTGATACCCCAAAAAGAATTTCAAAACAAAGATCACTTTGAAACATAGCTGCAAACAGGAGCTAGGCATTGTAATAGGAATATACCTGGGACAGGCAGTGCACAGCTCTAGCTGGATGTTGGTATTTAGTAATACAGGTACAGTATTGCTCTTAGAAGCTCAAGGGACCCTGGAGCTCACACATAAAATCTTTTTATGAAGCCTAATGTGGTACCACACACTTGTAATGTCAGTACTTGGGAGATGGAGGAAGGAGGATCAGGAGTTGAAGGCCAGCCTCACCTCCATAGTGAGTTTGAGGCCAAGTTAGGCTATATTAGATCCTCTGTCCGAAAAAGTCTTTATAATATTATGATCTAGAAAAGACTAAACTGCAAATTCCTCAAATATTTTATCCTTAATATGTTTAATGGATTTTTTGAAGTGGATGTTATTGATGGAGTACTGTGCCTGATTACCATACAAACTTCAAACTTTGATTCTCAGTTGACAGCCCTACAAATTAGGGATTAGTATCAATATCTTTTTTTGTTAATTTTTTTATTTATTTATTTTACTTACCAACCAGTTTCCCCTCCCTCCTCTCTTCCTGTTCCCTCCCCCCACCTCCCGGCTATCTCCCCTACCCGCCCCCATCCACTCTTCCTCCTTTCAGAAAGGGGCAGGCTTCCCATGGGAGTCAACAAAGCATGTCATATCACTTTGAGGCAGGACCAACCTCCTCCCCTGCATCAAGGCTGAGTGAGGCGTCCCTGCATGGAGAATAGGTTCCAAAAAGCCAGCTCGTGATCCCACTGCTAGGGACCCCATAAACAACCCAAGTTCCACAACTGTCATCCATATGTGGAGAGCCTAGGTTGGTCCCATGCAGGCTCCCTAGGATATTGGTCCAGAGTTCATGAGCTTAGTATGAATATCTTAAGGGAAATGAGCTCAGATATGAAATTAGTTGCCTTTAGACAGCAAATACAGTGTTTAAGAGGCAGAGCTAGGATCATAACCTAGATTTATATGACTTGTGGTTTGAATGAGAATATTCCCCACAGGCTCAGATGTTTGAATACTTAGTCCCCAGATGAAGGTGCTGTTTGGGAGGTTTAGGTAGTATTCTTTTGTTGGATGAAGTATGTTATTGCTGGTGGGCTTTCAGAGTTTAAAGACTTGGTTGCCATTTTGAATTCTGGTTAGAGATGTGAGCCCTCAGCTTGTAGTCCAGCCACCATTCTTATAGCCTGCTGCCTCCACTCTGCATCATGGACTCTAACTCTCTGGAACCAGAAGCCCAAATAAATCCTTTCTTCTATGAGTTCCCTTGGTCATGATGTTTCCTACAGCAATAGAAAAGTAACTAATACGTGACTCCTGCTACCATTCTTTTAACAAACTAGTTAAGATACATATGTACACACATGCATACATATATGCATACAAACATACATACATGCAGACATCTTAGGAATGTCAGACTCCATATACTTTTAAATTCTTATATAGAAAATAAATATTCCTTTAACTTTTAAAATGTAATTCAGTAATCATCTAACTGGAATCTATTTGTTGAAATAAAATCTGTAACTTCTTTATGGGGTCTTGCTTTTTTCTTCAGGCCATTTGGAAGCATATGTACTCATTGACACTACAGTAAAGGGCATCGTCACTTTCTTATTTATTGTAATTTGCAGTGATATCATTATATAATTGCCATTTTATTTTAAAAGATTTTTAATCTTATGACCATCAGTTTTCCATTTTGTGTTTTTAAGGCTTATTCAAATATGTTCTATATAATAAAATTAACAAACTATCAATGTAACCTACCCATACTGCAACAGCTATGTGTTTTCCAGTAGGAAATATTTTCTTCTCTACATATAGCAATAATGTGTGCTGATAAAAAAGGGAAGCAGGTTGAAAACTGAGTCTACTCATGTCCATTGTGATGTATACCCTAGGCCCAGAGATTAAAAATCAGGATAGCTAGCTCAGTGCCCACACACTCACATGTGCACGCGCTATCTGTTCACTGGTTTCCCAATACACACACACACACACACAGAGAGAGAGAGAGAGAGAGAGAGAGAGAGAGAGAGAGAGAGAGAGAGAGAGAGAGAAATGCTTCTAGAAAGTGGAACAATAGCGTGCTCAGAGTGGGCATGGAAATTTTGTGTGCCTTCAGCCATACCTTCTATTACTCATCTGTATCCTTTGTACTGTTCTTTATAATACACATTCAAACAATTGAACAAACAAGCTATTTCTCACTGTTGGAGTAAGTTACAAATATAGAAAGAGATAGTTGGATTTGGTGGTGCACACCTTTAATCCTAGCACTCAGGAGTCTGGGGCAAGAGGAGGTTTAAGAATTTGAGGTCATATTCCTCTTACTGGGTTGCCTTGCCAGCCTTAATACAAGGAGAGGTGCTTAGTCCTACTGCAGTTTGATATGCCATGCTTTGTTGATAGCCATGGGAAGTCTGCCCCTTACTGAACAGAAACAGAGAAGGAGTGGATTTGGGGCCTGGGGAAGAGGGGAAACTGCATTCAGGATGTTAAATAAATAAATAAAGTTAATTTTTTAAAAAGAAAGAACTTTGGAGCAATAATAATTTAAAAAAAGAATTTGAGCTCAATATTAATATGAACTCATGGTTTAGATGCCATATTTAGAAAAATCTACAATGATTTTTAGTATCACCAGTAATAGGTATCAAATGGGTATTATGTTTCTCCTGGTATAATTCACTGAGGACACAGCATCATTTTAGTAAATCATGAAGAGATATAAAACAAACCCAAGCTTAAGGAAATTCCCCCAAGTAACTTGACTATAACCTTTAAATATATCAGTCATAAGCCAGAGAGTACATGCCTGTAATCCCAGAATTCTGAAGGCTAAGGCAAGAGGATTGTAAAGTCAAGCCAACCCAGACCAAGTAACAAGATTCTGTGGGCCACAAAAGCTAAATTCATCAAATTCAAGTAAAGAATGAGGAACTAGTCTGGAATAAAATGGCTTCAGAGAATATCCTAGATTGCTTCTGTTACTGCAATAAATAACATGACCAAAAGAAACTTGAGACCAAAAGGATTTATTTCATCTTACAGTTTACAGTCCATCATGTAGAGAAGTCAAGGCAGGATCTCAAGCAGGAACCTGAAAGTAGGAACTTAAGCTGACTGTGGAAGACGTCCTCGGCTTCCTCCTCATGGATTGCTCAGCTTGCTTTTTTTTTTTCTAAGAGATTATAATTTAAGGCAGGCAGTGGTGGCGCACGCCTTTAATCTCAGCACTCAAGAGGCAGAGGCAGGCAGATCTCTGAGTTCAGGGTCAGCCTGGTCTACAGAATGAGTTCCAAGACAGCCAGGGCTACATGGAGAAACCCTGTCTCAAAAAATAAAAGATAATTAAAAGAGAGAGAGAGATTACAATTTAATTACCCTTTCCTCCCTCCAAACCCTTCATATACTCCTCCCACTCTCCTTGAAATTTATGGCCTCCTTTAAAAAAATAATAATTGTTATTGCATGCATATATGTGTAAATAAATATATTCCTAAATATAACCTATTCAGTCCATGTAATGCTAACTGTGTATATGTTTTCAAGGTGATCATTTGACACTGGATAACCAATTGGTATGCTCTTCCTTGGGAAGGCCACTTCTCTCATACCCAACTTCCCTCAGTTGCCTCTAGTTCTTTGTATAAGGTTGAGGCCTTGTGGGTTTTTCTTCATCCAGTTTGGCATGCTCATTGGTGCCATCCTGTTTGGCTCATATTTGGACAGTCATATGGTGAGACTTTATGGTATAGCTTCTGGTATTACTATGAGAGACAATCTCACAGCAAATTCCCTGACTTTCTGGCTCTTACAATCTTTCCATCTCTTCTGCAGTATCCCCTGAGCCTTAGTTGTGGGAATTGTTTTGTAGATGTACCCATTGGGACTGGGTTCCACAGCTCTGCCTTTTGATGGGTTGTGGTTATTGGTGGAGAATCAACAACCACTACTTTACTAAACCAGAATAATCCCTAACAACAGTCTGTAAACATGTGTTCTTATACTCACAGGTAAGTGTAGTCTTCACCCCTCATCAAGGAACCTTCTCTTTGTAACAGATGGAGACCATT